TCAACCAATTCTTTCAACTGATATCTCGCCATGTACAGTGAAAGAACTTACGATTCAGAATACAGACAATGATGCGCTCATAACAGTAACAAGGTAATAACTCGCCGTGGAGAGACAGTATAGTATACCGTCCAATGGCAGATGATCTAAGTTTATTTCGCTCTGGTGAGATAGTAAGTTAGCCTGCGGATTATTTGTCGTAGCCAGGAAACGTTCCTAAACGGTAGCCTTGTTCTGATTGGTCGACATTTATGACGTCAAGCTTAAGGCTGCCAGCAATACCCTCCAATAGCTACTTAACTGGTCTTGTACAAGTATATCTCTCAGACCATACAGTCACTGACACTGGTGCGCGATTCGCAGTACAGCAGGTATAGCAGTAGGGCAAGTCCCAGCAACAACTGTAGTTAACTGTGATCGACTAACTTCGCCCAAACGATGGATGGTTTGTACTATTTTGGTCGACTATTTTGGACCAGACTCAGGGGTATAGTTGCACCTCTGGTTATCAACAGCCAGGTTCATTAAAGAGGGAACCATTCACGAGAAAAAATTGTATGAGATTTCATTGATCATGTACGCTGCGAGAATGGAAGTAACGGTGAGATTTTTAAAAAAAATTACGGACTAGGATCGTTCGATTGTAACTGAATCGTGCATACGAAATGTTCAAAAGCAATAAACTATAGTGTAACTGGTCGAACGTAGTTCGCTCCCAAACTTGCCCATATTCTCACATTATGAACTTGACCGCAGAGTCCTCACATGTGATGCACCATGATTCCAAATTTCTGTGCTGAAAAACTTTAAGTTTCCTGATGTGGCGCATTTCAAATAATTTTTGAAAATCCCATGTAGACATGTAAGAAGTTATTCAGTCAATACATTCTCATTATTTTCCCTAACCTAGCTTCAAGTTTAAACAAAATCATTCCGTAATTTTTGGGCACTTTTTCAAACAGTTCATTTTGCATGAGAAAGAAATTGAAAAATAGGGCTGAAATAATTTTTTTCGTGAAAAAATTGTAAAAGTAATATACTGTTCGCTCTACAGGCTAAAAATAATAATGGGCCACGTAAGTGGCTGCGCGCGTTTTGTCAGAGTGCATGTACATGAACAATGATAACATCGTGAATATGGACAAATAAGAACAAGGCTACCGGCAGTATATTGTTTTGAAACTTCTGTTGACGACGACAAAATAGATACTGCCAAAATGAAAATGACCCTTTTTACGTTCCAACAGCGACTCAACTACAAACAACTCTTCAACAATCGCCTACATTAACAGCATAACGGCAAAGGTTGAACTCTACCTTTTAAGCTCATTTAGTGGATCTCTTGTGCCAACGCACACATCAATCTGAGCCTGCCCGGATCGTAAATGATGACCAGTCATGTTCAATGACAGCCTAATAACACAGTAGCTGATGTAAGCCATTTTTATAGACCTTTTAATGCTTATTTCTTTTTTATAAGTTTTGGACTTTTTAGCAATTTGGCATGCTCATCCAGTAGTTGCACGCAAAGAATAGGCCTTCGAGAAATATAAAAACGCTGGGCATTTTTTTCAGTATACCAGTTAAACCAGGTGACCCACCCTGTTGGGTGAACGGATTACCCAAGGGTGTTGGTTCTCTTCTGATATCACTGGTTCTCATTTTACTAAATGATTGTACAAAATGTTATTTGTGCGACAATTTTGCCACTGCTGTGCTGTTTTTGCTCAACCGTTGCGATTCACGTGGTACCCCCAATTGGGTAAAGGCACTGTCCAGCGTTTTTGCATATTTCTTGCAAGCCTACTGTGTGCATGTAACTATGACTTGAGCACGCAGGTACTGAAGAAAATATAAGAATTTTTTTGCACCATTTAATTTTCGTGCATACAATTAAATTGCCAGAAAGGTTTAGTCGTCTTGAAAACAACCTTTTATTAGACATAATGTGCGCGTGTGCACTAAACCCCTCGCAAAATAGCGGCGTGTACATACTAGATGACAAGTATTTTTATTATAAAATGAGAAAACCCGTAGTGGTCTGTGCATATAAGTGTGTGACATACATTTCTTCTTACCAAGAGAATGATGCTAAAGAAAAGTGAAAGGGAGCCAAACATCACCACCAAGACAATCATAGTTGTGGGGGTACTTTCTGGAGGACTGCTGTTCGTCGTCTCTGAAGTTGTATCTGAGAGAGACATACGAGGAAAAAAACAGTTATTTCATAAGATATTTAGTTGCATTTTTATACAAATTACGTTTTGAAAGTATTATGCTTTCATCATTTTATTTTTTCAGTAGCACTTTTTAAAATATAACTTATACATGTAAATGAAAATTTAATCCTTCTACTTTAATTTCTCTTTTTATACTGTAACTTTAAAGGGACCATGTAATACAAAATTTTTGTTAAGTCTTACTAAAAGCCTTGAAACTGCACCTTTGGGTTTCAATCAACCTTTTAGTAAATTATCGTTTTACTATTTCATCCCAGATTTTTTTAGCTTTTTTATTTTTATCCTAATGCGCATTTGCATATTTTTGAGCAAAATTGTGATGTCATCCAGGGCACTGAACCTCAATATTACACTGATTTGTTCATAGGGCCTACGGAATGTTTAGATTTCTTCAAACACTGGCACGGTAGCTTCCTTTGGCGATTTATTGTATATGTTAATTAGTATATGGCAATAAGCCAGTGGGCAACTTTTTCTCAAAAATGTTTTCACACGGCAAATTTAGAGTTACATCTTGAACATGAAAACATGCAAACTGAGCACTGTCTTCCTGAATTTACACCAAGACAAAAGCGCCTTTACTTGTCTGCATATTTAGGCCTATGCTTGGTTTTTGATGTTTAAAAGTACACTTCTCCCTACTCAAAAAAGATCCAATAAAGTCTTCATACATTAAACATTGAAAACTTTATTACATGGTTCCTTTACAGCCCATTTAGGCCTAGTACATTTCTCATCATTTGTCTGATGGATTGTTTTGAACACTGGTAATGATCGAGTCTCCAATACGAGACTTCCTGAAAACTGCATCAATCAGTGAAGTGATTTTGTCACGTTGTAGGCCTTGTTTAAAACCGACAGAATATAATTTTATATTGAAAGATTTGTGTCGCAGAGGTGGGAGCAATCGAAGCTTAAAATGAAATGTAGAACAGTCACACTTCACATGCACATTCAAACTGCGGTGTGACGAGGTCTGACCGTTAGCATTACAACAGCGGAATTTTCATTGCACAGTCATACATTGATTTATACACCTGAACATGCCCTAAATATTGTCTTTGTTCCTGTGTGGAGCGCTTCCAGTTTCACTAACCTTTAAAAACTACC